GTTTACTCTTTAAACAACCATACTAATTTATCCTTCATGTCTGTTTTCAAGATTAATCCACAAAATTTCAGTGAACCGATTTCAGGATTCCTGAACAGTCGAAATCATGTCTTAGAAAACCAAAAATGAACCCTGTAATGAAAATCTCGACAACGGTAAATCAAATTCTAGCTTTAGCCCATCAGATCATCACTTATAAAAATCACAGTAATTCACTTTTCTTACCGTCAGGATCAAAACCAAGAGCTTGGAGAGAGAAAAACCTGAAAACAAACACCCAAAGCTTCAAAAAGAAACAGTACCAGGTTCGTAAATTTCTCCAGTTTCAAGGCTTCCCCTTTGTTGATTCCTTGTACATGTGATTCAGGTCACCGAAAACTGTCAATCTGTTTGTCCTGAGCAAAGATTGTCCCACGGGTGAAAGCCAATGAGAACGAAGACAGAGGAGCCTCGGATTTCTGAAATGTCGTTGGATCCTCCTGATAATGCTAACCCACAAGTAAGAACACCTTGTTTCCGACATGATTTCTTCACTTGTCGATGTGAGATCAGCGTCGAATGTTGTTTCCCTGTTTAGGTTATGTAAGAATTGTTCCTGGGTTTACTTTTGTTTGGGGTTTCCGAATTGTTTTTTAGTAGCTAGGGATCTCAATGAACCCGTGCATGCAGATGGTTTCTGGGTTATCTGTCCGATATCAGGACTCTCCGAGGAACAACTCTAACTCGGGTTAGCTTTAGATTTAAGTAGTTTGTTCGTAGTACTGAATTGTGGTTGCACGTGTTGCGGACGTGATTTGTTTCCTAAAACAGACGCTGCCGTTACCTGCATTGCGGCCGCGGTTTTGTACTATGAGTGTATTGTTGTATAAACCAGACAGGATCGAAGATCTTTCCTAGGAATGTCAAAGCACTTTAGTTGATCTAATATAGATTATGTCTATTGACATCAATGGCAACTCCAGTCTTATTCTGCTGGTCCTCAATTTGCCATTTCCTGAGTTTCAAGTCTCAGTTAGGATTAGTGATATCGTTACAAGTCTCGGTTAAGATTCGGCTTGTGTTAATTCCTCATGAAAACCTGCAAATAAAAGAAATCTAAAAGTGTTCATCTTTGATCGTATCAAGCCTAATGTTATGGAGCAAGTGGAGGATCTTCAAACAAATCTAGCCGGCAGATTCCCCAGTTGTACGAAAACCATGGTTCGCTCGAACGTTACCCATGGATTTTGGCTGGTAAGCTTGAAATATGTTTACTAATCGATTCGGAATGAAACCAATTGTTCCGGAAAGCTTTATATGTTCTAACTCTTTGGTCTTATGATGACAGCATCTTCCTATGCCTTTCTGCAAATTGCATATGCCCAATTTGGAAGATGAAAATGGGGAAGAATATAAAGCATCTTATATTGCACAAAGGACGGCATTGAGTGCCGGATGGAAAGCGTTCTCGTTTAATCATAAACTAGTCGAAGGGGATGTTCTAGTTTTCCATTTGGTCAGTTCTTCGAAGTTTAAGGTACTATTCGATTTATTTCTCTCGTATTTGTATGAAGACTGTCCTTGATTACCATCTCAAAAGAATTTGCTTCCATTACGTTCTTATAGGTTTACATAGTCAGAGCATTCGAAGAAAACCGAGTAGATAGTTCTTTTGTTTCACTAGATGCGAATATTCATGCGAAACCGATACGCTCGAGTATGCTCTCTTTAAACTTCTTGTTCCTTCTTTTCCCTATTAATAAGTGAAAGCTCCCTAACATTGTTGCTCCGATTGTGTCTACCGTTTTCCCGGGAATGTTGAACTTGAAACAACAATAAAAGTTCGCACGAAACGGACAAAGAGACCTTCTAAGAAGGCCAAGTGTTTGGATCTTTTTCCACTTGACCCTCCGGATGACAATGTTGAAAATAACAGCCTGGTGGTATTGGACTCCAATAGCGAGCCTTTTGTCGATCGCAAGGATCGTTGCTCTGGTCTCGATGATGGTATTGAATCTTTGGCATCCGTTATTGATTTTAAAGAGGTCAAAAGCATTGGCAGCTTCATCGTTATGGTGAATGGTTCGAGAATAGACTCCGAGCTTTCGGAGTACCATAGAACTAAGTACTACGAGCTTTGTTCCAGCCAGAACTCGTTTCTCCATGATAATCTTCTAAAGAGTATTACTGGTAAATTAGCAGCTGAGATAATAATAGAGACTGTTAGCATTGCAGAGGCTATTAGAGCCTGCAAAATTTCCACCTCTCGAGCGGATTATATGCTCTGGGACAAGACCCTGAAAGGCTTCGAGCTGTTAGGCATGAATGTCGGGTTTCTCCGAGCCAGACTGAACCGGCTGGATACCCTCGCCTTGGAATTACAGGAGGCTACAGATACGGAGAAGTACGAAGCGAGTCCAGAGCATACTCGCATGAAGGAAGAGAAAAAATCCCTCGAACTAAATCTCGCGAAACTCAAAGAGGCTAAGCGTGAGCTCGATGCCGAGATAGAGATCCTGAAGGCAAATGCCGAGAAGCATGAGCTCATGTTTCGGGAAAAGGTCACCGCCGCATGGTGATCACCGGCGGCTTTCCTCGTCGTTTTAAAGTTTTTCCGAAGAGATATAGTTTAATGTTCTCCATGATATGTAAATGTGTGTCGGTTCATGTAAACTTATATAGGGAAGTTGTAAAAACAGTTTAAGTTTCTATTTAATAGGGGCTTCAATGGTGTTAAAAGCTGAAGCTTTCATCCATATATATTCCCTTTTGACGTTGAAGGAATCTTTTTTTTTTAGAAGCAAAGCAGACGAGAGAGTAAAAGATTCCTGCAACTAACTTTACACGACACTTGCTTTTTACCGTCACTATGTCCAAGTAGGCATGTAAACGAATCGAACGAGTATAAATGAAGGTATGTCTATGTGTTTGTTTGTTTAACCTTAACAACACAAACCAAGTGACTTCGGTGGTAAAAGAATTATTGTTATTCCCTAGAGGTCTCGGGTTCAAGCACCAGAAATATCATGGGCGCGAGCATTCAATGTCAAATGATTGAAAGTTATCTTTGAGCAAATAAAAAAACCTTTAACCGAACAAACGAATGAATACGAACAACTAAACGAACTAAATTTCTTATTCGTGTTCGAATATAGTTTATTCGTTAAAATGATAAAAGAACACAAATAACCGAATATAAACAAACATAAAATTAAACAGAAAAGTGGATGACATGATATTTACAATATTGACGTGAGTTTTTATAGAACATAATTATACACATTTGGAAAAGTGGATACGAAATATGATCAAATCATAATAAAGGATTAAATCCATAAAAGATGCATAATACAAGGATCTTTTACAAAATTTAACCCTTACATATATAAATCAGCTGCCTTTTACAAAATGCAACCGTGTTTCTCTTTTTCGTGTGTTCCCATAATATCCACAAATTCCCTCTCTTTTGTCTTCGCTTTCGCGCCCTATATGGAAGTCACAATCTTCCATCACCGGCGCCTAATTTGCCGTTTCCAAACCCTAATTTCACCCTGGACCTCTATCCGAACGGTAAAAAGGGAAAATGAAAATTTAAATTCTCTCGCTTTCTCCAATTCTCTGGGAATTCGGATTGAAAACGGCAGTGAATTGAAGGGGGAACGATATGTTTGGCGCGAGGAACAATATTGCGAAATCGGCAGAGGCGGTGGTTTCCCTGTGGGCGGTGAAGAGGGTGTTTAAATTTCTATTGAAGAAGAAGCTTGGGCAGTTTATTTTGGGTGATATTGATTTGGACCAACTTGATGTTCAACAGAAGGCACCATCCAGCTCTCTGATCTCGCCCTCAACGTGGATTATCTTAACCGGAAGGTGCGCTTTTTATTTAATTAATTTCGGTTCTTTTCAAATTAAGCGTCTAATGTATCTGAAGAGTAAGAATGATTGATTATGATTTAAATATTAAATTATGTGACATTTTTATTGGTAAAACTTTGCATGGGGTGCAACGGTTTTATATTTCGGCTCTTAAATTTTATAAGTAGCTCTTAATTTTGAAGAAGGAAGGAAAAGGGGAAAGAAGATCTACTCGGTAATTAAGTGAACTCGGTATTGGTTTGCTTTGAAATTTCCAAAAAGCATGTGCTGCTTTTAGGATAATAAAAAATGAAGATAAGTGGAGCAAAACTAGTAGGGTACTTCTTTTAGATAAAGTAGCAAAATTGTAAGAATAGGGTGCAAGTTACTTGTCGTAGACAGTAAGGCTCTAAGATTTGAGTACCACTTTGTAATTAGGGTATCATGGTAAGGATATTAATGAAATATAGTGTAACTAAGGGCAGTATTCTCATATATATCTTTTTTATAGTATTCTGTTGCAAGTTGTATGTTGTAGATAATGGGGCTCTAGGTTTTGAGTGACAATATTCTCATATATATCGCTCCTGCTTTTGATTTCTAGATTGGTCCAGCAGCATCTTTGGTTATAAAAGAGGGGTCTATTTGCTCTTTATTAGTTAAAAGGCATAATGCAAACAAATACCTCTAACGTTTGACAACATATGCAATTTTGTCCATATTGTTTTTTTTTTTGGGATCATTTGATCTCCCCACGTTTCATTTTGGGTCAAAAAGCACCCTCGTTGGATGAAAACTGTTAGTCAACTGACGATCAATGCCTGAATCTGACTCAGCAAGAACATGTGGAGGGAGATGCTGATGTGGCATGACCACGTGTGATAACATTATTAGGCTTAACGTCTAACCACCAGGCAAATCAATCCGTTGTTAATGTTAGGTTGATAACATTATTTAAGGTATATTGTAGACAATAAAACCACCACTAACACAAGTACCTTTTTTTTAAAATTATAGTTAGATTTAAATTGTTAGAATTATTTGAGACAATTTAAATTTATATTTAAAATTTTAATTAATTTTAAATTTATAAACTTTAAAAAAGACCTATGGCACCTTAAATCGGTCGACTGTGTGTCGTACTGGTCTAGGGTGTTACAATTATTCTTTAAGAATTGTAGAAAATCACATCTCAGAACCAAGTGGACAAGCTGGTTTGAAACCAATTGTGGAAAGCAGGCTTTTCTATTGTGACTCTGGTGCAACTGATGATACAGTAAACATCATAGGATGCGTACTCCTTAAAACATTAATATAAGATGGAGAATGTATTCTGGGTCTGACTGGAGCAAAAATATAAAGAGTAATACGCATTCCAATAATATTCTTGGAAGGGATAGAACTGTATGTCTAGAGTTTGCAGTATCTTGGATGGAATTTCAATATTGCATATTCACACCTGGTGGAGTATCTGTGTCTAAGCTCTCTCTTTTAGCCCTTGATTTTAATCTTTATGACAGAAGCACAGATGCACCTTGGAAGGTGGTAATGCTCACATTACTGCTGTACTTGTATTACTTATTCCTTACCTCTCCTGTATGAACAAAATTTTGAATTTCTCCAATCCTTACTTGTAGGTGCTAAGATACTATGATACAAAAGATCATCCTAGGGAATCCTCTTCAAAGGCATTTAAACTGGACCTAGAAGCTGTCAGACCAGATCTTTTTACACCACTTGAGGAATACCGGTATTCTTGCTGCTTTATATATATTCTGACTAAATGGAATTAGCACTGAAATCTTCATTTCTCTCTGAGGGTTCCACATGAGGGAGATTGCATTGTCCTTTCATGAAAAGTGCTATCCATATGCATAACCTATATCAATTTATCATTTCAGTTGCTCTTTTTATATAGGGGAGGGCTGGGATTCTAGTAGAATTGGTCATTTTTCTTTTCACAGTTCCAAGTTTTTGAATGGTTTCACTCATGGGTCTAGGTCTTATCTGCTCAGATTATTAGATATTGACCTGATTGGAACCTAAATCACTACCTCATGATGTTACATATTGTATCCAGTAGTCAACGTTTTATTTTTTATAAAGTAGTGTTTTTGAGTTTTTAGCTGCATTTTTCTCGAAACCTTGCTTTGCTTACTAATTGTATTCAGAAGAAAAGAGTGTGTGTTTGGCTGCCACCATAGGTTTCGCTGTAATTATTTGTGTTCGATGCAATCTATAAATGAAGTAAATATCAAAATCACTTTGATGTTGCTATTCTGCTTGTCATATTTCTGTTTCTGAACTTCTGTCACTTGCTTTTGAAGAACCAACTTTTTTTTTTTATTTTTTTTACTTGCATGTTGCGCGTTGCTCTCCATCCTATGCGGCTAAATCTTCATCAAAGCCAACTTGATTTTCTCATCAGCTTTTTTTGGTGAAAAAAGCAGAACATTCTGTTCACTGTTCCCTATCTATTATTGTTCGCACCATCTTGCACTCCAGTTTTACAAATGCAATAATTGGTCCTCGTTCCTTTTACTACATGAATTTTGAGCTGTATGAGCTGAGTTTAGCTTAACATCTTCAAACCCTGTGAAAGCAGCTTCGCAGTGTATATATATGCATAATTAATGTAATGTTCTTGGCTCTTGATTTGCTTATTGAGACAATAAAAGGTCCCTCCCTTTGACAAGTTGTTTCATGTCCATAAGTCTAGTGATTAATATGGAAGCTTGATTTGCCCCAATCCGCTTAATCAACCGAGGCTTTGACGTTCATTTTTCGGTTATCGGCTTGCACGGGAAAATGGATAGAATAAGGTTATTATCGAAGGCGATGCTATCTCTATAACCAACCGACTTGCAAATCGTCAAGAAGATATTTCTGTGATCGGATTGTTATTCAACGAAGCACTTGTTACTCTCGCCAATAACACAGGGTTCAAAGTTTTCTACGTGAAGCGTGAGACAAATAGGGCGACACACTCGCTTGCACAATGGGCCTTATCGAGAATCAATCTTTATTGGTCAGATTTTTCAAGTAATGCATATGATAATTCATACAAAATTGATCAGCTGTAAATGGTCAACTAATTTGTGAATGATTCTTATTCTCATCTTTTCGTTCTTGAATAAATTCTAAAATTTTAGAAATTGACGGACTCATAAAATTTTAGAAGATGAAAATATATTTTCAATAGAAAATATATAAAATATCTAAAATATATGATACTTTTAAATTTTCACATTCAGTACATACTCCACAAGTCCATAGGACCAACTACGTGAACTGCATGGTAGTTTTCATTCAACTTTTGTATTACAAATATGCTGTTCCCCCTCATACTAAAGGCCTAATAATGCCTTAAGTCTATGTACTCTTAGGAGTTAGGACTTTCAAATTTTAGTTCTTTTATTTTTTGGTATATCCACTAATATCTTATCTATTGATCGATAAATCTAGATTGAATATCATAGAGGTTCATTGTGTGATGACTCTTTCAATTCGATTTTTCTCCATTCATCACGTCAATAGTTAAATCATTAACTTTGTTTAAGGATTTAGCGACTCATCCCGTTAGATCAATTAATAGTAGTTTTTTCTACTTGTAATCTTTTACGCTATTTAAAACGTAAACCGTAATTTATAAAACTATTAATTGGTTTTCCTTAATTTGAATATGAGTTTTTTTTAACACGTCTTTAATATTAGAACGTCAAATCCAAATTTAATAAAATTACTTCAACAGTTATTAAATTTTTCTTTCATTAACCTATTTGATAATGAATGCTCAAACATCACCTGACATAGGATGTTTTCGAACCCGAGACCTCTAGGTATAATAATCATCCCTTTAAAAAAATAAGTAGAGCGATTAAATTTAAAAAAATAAAAGCCAAAGGAATAAGGTACAGGGACCGGAAGCATGGTTAAACTATTTAAGGTGGGAATAGAATACATGGATGGAAAGCGAAGAACCCTAAAATCAGACATTTATACATGACAGAGGACAAGGAAGAAGAAACACACAAGCAAAGTGAAAGAAAACTATAATAACTACCTTGAAATTTGAATTTAAACTCCCTTTATATTGTACCCTATACAGAGTTAGCCAAGTACCCCAATTAACATCGTCTCTCTAACTTCAGTGGTACTCGATACAGGTACTGAATCGGATTTTAACAAATTAGAGGGACTAACTTCTCGATTTTTATAAAGTAGAGGGACGGATTCATAGAAGATAAAGTGTAGTGTAATCTCACCTATGCGTTGCTGATAAGATGTTCATCATGGAGAAACATAGGCATACCACCCTTCTCTTCAACTACTTTCTCAAGCTCATGTTCATTTCTATCCTTTTTCTTGGACACTGCGTTAGTCCTTTTCAGCCCCAACCGCTCTTTCCACCGCCCCGGACCCTTTCGCAGGCTCGGGAAGGAGACGTCGTCGTCATCATCTACGAGCAGTGTGTCTCTCAAAGTCAGCTTTCTGCCATGGTCAGGGCCTTTCAAGGGCACTAACATACCCTTGAAGAAGATCTCATCTGCAGGTATCATGGCATAGTTGTTCACCGAGAATTCGAAGTCCGACGACACCGGAGCTTCTCGGTAGTTGCTCTCGAACTTTATCCCCGCTTGAGGATCTGCAAAATCATTGGAGAAAGAAATCCTTGGGTCCATTGTTGAACTAGTAAGCACTAAGCACACCTGGCTGATGTTCACTGTTGAACCTCTTTAGGCATTGCCTCTTGACTAATATATCTTCACAAACAATATATATATATATATATATATATATATATATATATATATTATAATGAGTTGTTGTTTCCTTGTGTTAGAATCCACATGGAGATGTTTGATTTTATATTCGGCTCTTTGGGACATCTCATGTTACTTATATTTGTCATGTAATGAGATCTATAATAGAATGTGGGTTAAACTAAAACCCTCCTTTTAACTTTGTATTTAATTTAGGATAAACGCGTTTAGTACTTAAAATATTAGTTTTGACCCGTTTCAATACCTAAACTTTCAAATTTCTCAAAACCATACCTAACGTTTAGTTTTTATTTCATTTTAGTATCCACCGTTAAAAAAATTAAAGCGTTTAGTACCTAAACTATCAGTATTGGCCCGTTTTAGTACCTAAACTTTAAAAAATAAAAAATTAACGTTAAATTTTGAACGTGGGTACTAAAATTAAACAAAAACTAAAGTTTTTAACAGCGGGGTACTAAAATGAAACTAAAACTAAACTTTTGGTATAATTTTGAAATTTTTGAAAGTTTAGATACTCAAATGGACCAAATTGATAATTTACCCTTTAATTTAACAATGGTTAACCATGCAAATGAAAAAGGTGGCAACAAACCATGTATAGACCCCCTAGGATCTACTACTCTTTTCTCACCGGTTTGAGTGTTGGCCAACTCATGTGATTAGGTTCCAATAATTATTAATTAATTAAATTATATGAACACAGTTTTTTTAATTATGTACTTAACTTGTTAATGAGAGTGCTCTTAACAACATGTGATTCATGGGTAGAGAAGAGAACAATTTCGAGTTGTGTTTACTCCTAGCAAATTATATTGTATTAGATATCGACACTAATTCTAATTAAAATTAAGTAGAATTCTGTGATAATTTTATTTATTGAATATTACCCGATGATGAAATTTATTTAGTTAAGAATTCGTATGTAATAACTAATAAGTATTTTTTGTGACTACGTTCGTTTCCCTTATAAATATAGGGTATGACTTGGCCTTTAGAATAATGAAAGATAATTATTTGGAGAGATCTAATTCTTTTATAATCTCTATAATTTTTAGGGTTTATGTTGTAGAGATGAGTTCTGTAGGGATGTCGGGAGAGTATTTTGAGATGCATCAGATATCAGTATATATATCATATTATGGGATAATATGTTGAATCATTTGTTTGTACTTTTTGTGATCTCTACATTTATAATAGATTATTATTCTTCTAATCCATGACGTCATACAAAATCAAACCACACTAAATTTCGTATCTTGCACTGTCTTATTTTACGTTGATGTCACTCTAGTTATTTTTTCACTCGGAATTCCTAAGGAAACTATACTATGAGACAATTATTACCTCCATCATCAACTACCCCATTTTTTAAGGAAGAGGAAGAACAAACAAACTATGATTTACCTACATGTTTGTACTTTTTTTTTTATGTTTTTGTATGGTGAGTTTCCCAAATCCCCATGTGAGGGTTCCTTTATTTTAACATTATGTTTTGCCATCTCCAACCATCTATGAGTTCCAAGTCTTCTTATAGCTCCATGTGAGCCTTAGCTGGTAAAGATTCAAGTAGAAATAAAGTTTCTCAAGTCTTACCTATACAACAAAACCATAATGCACACACAAAACATGCAAAAGGGTTTAATTTATTCATCTATTTGACCATCAATAATTTCCCCCACTCGCCTATTGACCTTTCACATGGTTCTTCCTTCTCATCTCGATGGGTTCCTTTTGAGGTTTAATTATGCCCACGTCCATGTACTCTTTGGAATTTTGAAATTGAGTCCTACTTTCAATTTCAAAGTGTTTTTGGGGTCAAAACCCGACTTTAGAGACATAAATAACACTAAACATATAACTTTTGAAGAAAAAAATTGTTCGAAAAACACTCTTCAACCCAAGTGTATAGGCTAAATATTTCAGTATTTGTTAAGTCAATGGTTCGAGTCTTGACATTGTGAATGAAGTAAACTGAATTGGAAAAGTTATCCCTATAATGTGCCTCTACAATATTCGATCCGAATTGTTTGATAAAAAACATATTAAACTAACCCCTTTTTATTTGTTTCATTTAAAAATTAAATATAACGAATAAGACTATTAATAGATATTCGCTAACAACGTTAGCGATTGAACTCTTAACTCCTAAATCAGACAAGTAATGAGACTAAAAATTTCTCGAAATTAAAAGCAGAAGGGTTAAATTTTAAAAGTGCAAAGAGTACAAGGATCGGGAACAAAATTAAACCTTTTTTCAATCAAATCCCCAAACGGGAATTTGACAAGTGTACCATTCTCATGTTCAGGGGTACGAGGGTTAAGAGGGAATGGATTATATAAGAGAAGACAATGTGCCAAAAGTGCCCAACTTTTCATGGTCTAATAGGGCAGTTTGTGTCTCATTTAGGTCCCCCATTAGGATAGCAAGCTTGCCTTTGTTAAATCTTAATCTAAAAGAAGAATCTATCTTTATATTTTTTGGGGGTCGAAAATGAGGCTCGATTTACAATGTTGGATCTCAAAGAAGAAAAACCAGTTCTTTCTTAATTAGGTGCTTTGAATGTAAACTGGATTAGGTTTGGTTCTCTTTGTATTTTTATTCATAACCATGAATCGATACGAACTTGTTTTTGTTTGATTTTGGGTGAAAATCCATGAAAAAGTAAACCAAGAAGCATGATTTGCCACGAGTTGTTAGGGTTGAATCGTTGATGGTTTGAAGGGTAGTTTACGGTGAGCAAAACTCGTTTCGTTTTTAAAAAATCGACTCATCTTTATGGATGGGTACGGGGTGGGGCAGGTCAGATTTTTGGCCAATCTGACCTCGACCGAAAAATATATATCTTATACTCGATCCCACCCCGAATTTATTGATATTTTAAAATATATATAAGTATAAATTATCTAGGATGGGTCGGTGATTTTTCACTTTAAACCCATCTATGTTTCATCCCGAAGTTATATACTATATAACCCGCCTTACCCCTCCTGAACCCAGAAGTTTAAAGAAAAAGTCTCAATAAGGTCGAGTTGGGTCGAGACCCGTCGGATTCAGATTCCTACTTGTCTTTTTAACGCAAAAAAACTTAAATGAAGATTGAAGGCAAAATCACTCAAGTAAAGAAGTAGAAAAAATTTCACAATTAGAGATCATTGAATTTTATTTTTCTAAAATAAGGTTATATTTATAGTGAAAAGGAGAAGACGCCTGAACCATATGGCGTCTTCATGAAAACACATGACATATCTTATGTCTTCTCCAAACACACACATTAGAAGATGTTGTATCTTTCATTGAAGATATCAGGTGGTCCAGGAGTCTTTCCCAAACATTCTAACATTCACTTTATTTAAACAAATAAAATTTGCACTACCCCTCAGGAGAAAAATCATTTTTTTCAAAACAATGATCAAACAAATTTGTTGAAGATTAAATAATAAAGTATGACTCGTCAACTCAAAATATTTAAACTCGTTTCGATTAGATTCGATCAAATATTCACCCTTAATTTCTCTTACCATTATAGAATATCTATGCAACTTTTTTGGGGTATAATCACTGGTATTCGATCTATTGATCGATTAATCTTAATCGGGTGCTGCAGAAGCAAGTACGACCCTCCCAACCCCAGTTTACTCCATTGGTAATCGTCATGATTCGAATCCCTAACCTTGCATAAGAGATCTAGTGTCTCATCCCACTAAACCAACTGGTTGTTGGTAATATCTATGCAACTTAATTTAATTCCTATTTTTAATAACAAGTATACCCTTCTTTCAATTTTTTACAATTTTAAAAAATAAATTTATTTGATTTATTAAATAGATTACAATATGAAAAATAATATAAATAAAACGATAATCATTAAATTAGATCAATTTGTATCATAACGTTATAAATATCTACAAATAAATTTAATAAAAATTTAAATTTAATTTGATTCGATTCAATTCGATTGCATTAAATATTCAACTACTTATTGTGGGAAAATAACAAAAATAAAGTTAATTTTTGTTAGAATTCTCTTTCTGGAGTCCATGGAACATGTTTACAAGTTCTTCTATAGTTCACTCGTACATGAATGAGCCAAATATCAAACTTTTGAAAAAATTCTCCAACAATAATCCAACAATAATATCATATATCGGTCGTCAAGCCCAACATGATCATCAATGTTCATATTATAAAACTAGAGGTGAGAATTCGATTGAGTTGAATTAAAAAATTTCGAGTTAGTTAAATTGATGAGTCTTAATTTATTATTTAAATTTTATTTGAAACTTTTTAAGTTGAATTTATGAAAATAGAGTTGAGTCGAGTTTTTATTCAAATTTAATTATAATTATTTATAGAGTAAACTACGCATTTAGTACTTAAACTATCATTTTTGGTCCGTTTTAGTACCTAAACTTTCGATCTTTTCAAAACTTAACGTTAAATTTTGAACAAATATACTGAAATGAAACAAAAATTAATTTTTTTAATGGTAGGGTACTAAAATGAAATAAAAAATAAACTTTAGGTGTCATTTTGAAAAAAAATGAAAGTTTAAGTACTAAAACAGACCAAAACTGATAGTTTAGATGCTAAATATGTAATTTACCCTTATTTTTTATAATTCTATTCGTTTTGCTTTCAAATCGAGAGAAAGAGCGGGAGGTAGGCGGTGTTATTCGGCCAATGAAACGGTTCCAAATGAACGAATCTGTTACACGTTGCCTCAATTCAAGTTCAAGGCAACCGTCAGTCAAATATTATTTTGTTTTTAGGCAAATTACAATTTCTCGACTCAACTTTATTCCAACTCTCATTTTGCGCACTTGAATTTATTATTTTTTTAATTCAACTAATAAAATTTCAAATTATTCTTATTTTAATAACAATATCGTTAAATGCTTATCAACGTTATGACATAACATATAATAAAATCATAATGAAGTTGTTTAAGA